TCAATAGCGCCGAGAACAGGCAACATATTATTATTATTATCTTTGTTTTAAGTTGATTTATTTATTTTACTATATTTTGTAAGAAAAATCGGACAGGGAAGATCAACTTTGAGATGGCTGAAGGAAACTTCAGTCTGCCCATACTTGCAAATGTCTTTCTTAAATTTATAGTGATGTTTAATCTATTTTCTTTGGTACTTTTCTTTAATTTTAGATTTTTTTAGCTGTTTAGGCTCACTTGTGGTTGAATTGTTTATCCTTTCTTTGATTCATATAATTGAGTAACTACTTTCCCACAAGCGACTGCAGACAATGAATGTGTAATTAAGTTTAGAACATAATGAGTACAAGCACCTGAATTAGGCCCTCTAATAATTTCAAATGTGTTCATCTTTTGTTGCCCAGCAGGTTCTTAGACGCGTTGGTGTATAATTGAAAAGAGGGACTATCTTTAACGCTATTTGAATGTTAGTATGCAGTTATACACCACTTACGACTTTAGTTGCTTTTTTTTTCTACATTTATTTTAATTTTTATATGTTTTGTCTTTTGTCTTTGTTCGGATCAGATTTTCATACTAAAATACATATATATAATGTAATGTATTTTATGACGATCTAAAATTACAATCGGTGTTAAAGTACAAAAACAAATATTTTCACAAGTCGACAGGTTATAAAATCTTCAAAATAAATTACCCCAATAAAACTATGGTAAGCAAGGAATATAATATACATATATATACATTTGTTGAGCTTTTACTCAATTGGCAATTAAATTTCACTTGTAGTCAGCACTTGTTAAATTTCACCGTGTTCAGCAGTTTAGAATAGTATATTTCAGGCAGTGAATTTATATATAAAATAAAAATGCCAAAAAAATAGCAATAATAAAATTGTATAGTCACCTATATATTTTTACTTGTGTTTCTCTAATAGGCAGTTTCACAGTTAACAATAATATACTACATGCACTTTGTTAGTATCTGTAAACACTTTGATCGCAATAATATACTGAAATATCAGAAACTAAATGTTTCTGATGTGTAACATTAAAGTTTCTGGCTGTTTTGTGATTTTATGTATGTAATTTTTTAAAAACAGTTTTTTTTGTTATTATTTCAAATCTCAAATAAATTGAACAGTCAAGATGGAAAAGCAAACACATTAGTTTTTATCTTGATATAACCTTATAACTTCCATTTACACTTATGCAAACTGTCAGATTTGGACTTGTTTTTGATTTTCCACAATGAGCTGTAAGGGTGAAACCAAAAAAAGATGAAATATTGAAAATATTAAATGTTTTTTCTTCAAACATATTTAAATGCACTTAAAAGAGCACATACACACAATTTTACAAATCACCAGTTTTACGTTTCTGGTATATAAGCTTACCATATGTTTTCTAGTAAATATGCACCATTCACCAGTTTTACGTTTCTGGTATATAAGCTTACCATATGTTT